CAAAAAAAGACAGGTGAATCTCTGAGATTGAGGTCAGCCTGGTCTACATAGTGAGTTCCAGGCCAGCCAGGACTACATAGTGAGGCCCTGTCTCAAAAAACAAATAAACCAAAAAGAAAGCCATTGGAGAGATTGGTAGAGGGGGAAACAAACAAACAGCAAAGAAATAGGGACAGTATCCTTTTCAAGATTGCTAGAAAGGGGGGAAAAGCAGGTTCAGGTAACCCTGAATTGCTCTGATTTTCGTTTTGACCGGCAGCTTTCACATCTTCCCTCCCCACCTGTGCGGTTGACCATTTGCCTGACCCGGCACAGGCGGTTCATCTACAGCCTGCTCTGTGCCCCAATCCTTTGTGTTTTCCCTTCTTTCAACCCTGTAGTCCTGCCAGCCACTCTGGAAAGAAGTGAAACCACACACACACACACACACACACACACACACACACACACACACACCCCTCCTGGTGCAGGCATTTTGTCCCAGGGAGGGCCAACTGCTGTCCGCCTCTTTGGCTGTGACATGATGTGGTCAATTTCATGCTTGAAGGTGAACCCTGCTGTCACTGCCACCAAAGTTGGCCCCAGTTCTAATTGGCCAAATAGGAACAACAACACAAAAAAAACCAAGATAGTTTAAACACTGCCCCTGCCTCAGTCCTGGGCATTTCACACAACGGACGAGCAGCTTGCTCCTTGCCCACGGCAGATAAGTCCAGGGGCGCCTGTTTCCTAAGTCGCTGCCTAGGCTATCTCGGGATGCAGCTTGCCGAGCCGCTCCCTTTGCTGCTGCTGCTGCCTGGCTGTAGGCCAGCGGCTTGGAGAACCATTTCTGGGAGGCCTGGTCTCCGCTGGTGAGGCCCAGGGGAGGGGAGCTGGGTCAGCTCGTCTGTCTTCTCAGGCCAGCTTTGATGCTGCATAACTTCCTGCAGCCTGATTCTGACCTCGAAAGAGCTCCACCACTGAACTACGTCCTAGGCTTTCTTTTTACTTTTTATTTTGAGACAGGGTCTCACTCAGTTGCCCAGGCTGGCCTTGAACTCCCTCTATAGGCAAGCCTTGCACTTTTATTTTCTTTTTAATCATTATATGTGTGGGTATGTGCATGTGAGTGCAGTGCCCCAGCAGAACTGGAGTTACGGATGGTTGTTAGCTGCCATGTGAGTGTTGCCATTTGAACCTGAGTCTTCTGCAAGAACAACCAGTGCTCCTAACTGCTGAGCCATCTCTCCAGCTCCGAACTTTCTATCTTCTTGTCTTAAGCCCCTGGGGTGACAGGCCTGTGCCATCACTAGTGAGACATACATGTTTTAGTCTGTTTTTATTAGCTTAGTACCATCACTCAGAAGTCTGCTTGTTTAGGCCTGTGCTGGCTTTTCTTTTTTTTTTTAAAGTTTATTCATTTTTTAAAATTTTTTTAAAAATTTAATAACCACATGATTAGAAGAAGCATTTCATTACAGGTTTAACATATTCAGTAACACATTCCAGAGCAAGGATACATCTCTTTCAAAGGTGGCTGCGAATTTTTAGGTTCACAGTTGAATTAAAACTGTCATACAATATTGAACTCAGTATAAATTTTTATGTGTATGAATGTATTGCCTACATGTATGTAAGTACACCCATGTCGTGCAATGCCTGAGGAGATGAGAAGAGAGGGTTGGATTCTCCTGGACCTGGAGACTGTTGTCAGCTGCCATGTGCTGGGAATCGAACCCTGGTTCTCTGCAAGAGCAGCTAGTGCTCTTAACTGCTGATCCATCTCTCCAGCCCCCATGTGCTGGCTTTTCTATCTAGAGGAATGACTGTAGTTGTTTTTTTTTTCCCTTCCTTTTCATTAAGTTGGGGACTCCCAACCTCAGCCCAATGGACACTCTGGATCTGGTAGTTCTTGGTGGTACGTTAACCTCATCCTGCAGGAGCTGTAGGATGCTTTTCTGCATCCTTGGTCTCCACCCACTGGAGCCTGCTCTTCTCCAGCAGTCTTCACAAGTCTCCTGGGGGAGTGGGGAGGGTGCTAAAAATCACCCCTGGCTGCAACCACTGATTTCAGAAAATTTAGAAGCCTCAATTAAAGGTGGCAAAGTGATGCTGTTTCGTCTAGCTGGAGGTTTGTACAGGAAGGGTTGCTATCTCCGGGTCTCATCTGTAGTGGAAGGTCCTGTGAGTCGAATCCATCCGATGTCTCCCAGCTCTGTGGTAAGAGAAAGGCTTGCCACTGCTGTCCGGAGAACTTAGCCTCATTCTGCTGCACTCGGCCTTGTTTCTGTGTCTTTCTATCCAGGGTCATCCAGCGATCCAGGGTCATCACTGGGCGGGAAGTCAGAGCTCTGGTACCTGCCAGCTTTGTGACCTTGAGCAACTCACATCACCTCTCTGGGCTCAGTTCAAGGTCTGTAACAATGTTCCCTGCCCTGATGAAATTAGCCTTTGTGTGACACGGATAGCACAGCTGTGCCCTGGGGCTGTAGTTAGGGCTGCATGGTGGATCTCTAGCTTGAGGCCCACAGCATTTGGTTTTCTGTCCTTCCTATCAGTCACATTCCATCAAGGCCAGGACAGGCCTTTAGGCCTGCCCCAAGCTTCCTCTTCAATCTATGTCCCTCCCACAAGCCTGTCCCATCATACCTTTGTTTCTGTCTGCAGGCCAGATAACCTCAGACCTGCTAGAATGCCAACAACATTCCTTAAACTGAGCGGAGCTGCCAGAACAGCCCTGCAGCTTCCTGCTCTTTGCCCCAGAAAACAGTTCAAGTGATCAGATGCAAGGAGGGAGGAAGAGAGGGGGGAGGGCAGGAGAGAGGGAAACGAGGTGAATGCTGCAACTGCTTATGCAACAAGCTTTAATCCTGGGGTAAAATCCACGCATGTCCCGGTTGTGTATTTCATTTTCAGTTGTGGAGTTAGGTACACATGACACCTGCCATCAATCCCACCGCCTGTTTGTTCCCCTCAAAGCAGTATTCCATATGGGGTAATGGTGGAGGCTTCTGGCTGCCCACACAGCTGGAAGGGAGAGAAGGGTAGGCTGGGCATTGGCCTCTGGGCCTCCATTTGGCCCCAGCAAAGTTTCCATCCCCAGGAAAAGCCTGCCCCTCCTGTCTGTTGAGGCCTGGCCGTTGTCCTGGGTGCCTTTGTCCAGCCTAGTGTGGCTCTGGAGCTGCTTTCTGCATTTTGGCCTCAGCAGACTAAGACAACAAAATCCTGTCCCCTTTCCAAAGCCAGGGCTCTGCCCTGCAGTTGTGTGTTTAGATTCCTGGCTGGGTCCTAGCCCTGTCTGATATCTGATAAAAGATTCCCAGCCAGGGAGAATACATGACGGCGTGCTGGGCATCTCTTGTCCATGGTGGGCAGGGAGAGCAAGCCATCAGGTCTCCATTTTCTTTGAGGGATGGTGGGGAGGCCAGAAGAACCAGGGTCCTAATTTCAGGAACTGAGGGAGACTTTATTGCTCCATATCTAGCTGCTTCAACTCCTGCAGCTTTCCCTAGTGTCTGAAGAAAGGTGTTTATTTAGCTTCTGTTGTTCCGGCTTGCTCTCTGTGTGTGTGTGTGTGTGTGTGTGTGTGTGTGTGTGTGTGTGTTTAATCTTGCTAATGAAGCACTTAGTTGTTTAAGAAATAATGGACGAGTAGGAAAGAAAACTTGGATATTTTAAGATCCTTTTCTTTTTCTACAACGCAGCTTTAGGAAGCAACAAAAATGGACCTCTTTAACGCTATTGAAAGAAGTGCAGGTCTGAAAAACTAGTTAATATTTTACTGGGGGGCAGAGCTGGAGGCTGGGGAGAGCCAGTGTTGCAGGGGGACCGCCAGGTGTAGGGCTCTGTGTGAAATCACTGTTCCTCTGCCTTAGGGGACGCAAAGAAGTGGTTCTCAGTGGAAATAAATTGAAGCAAGAATCCTTATGAAGCCCTGGGGATTTGTCTGCCCACCAAAACAGGGCCCAGTTCCTCCAGAACACACACATGGGAAGGGCTAACCTGTGGGGTGTAGGCCTGTTTTCTTGACATCTTTCCCTGTCTCTCTGGATTTAAATGGCTTCTCAGGGCACTGCCTCTGTGCCCTGGATTCAGAAGGTCCACGCCTCCTTGGGAAGCAGAGGCGAGAGCTCTCTCTCTCTCTCTCTCTCTCTCTCTCTCTCTCTCTCCTCATCTGCCTGGAGAGCTGTAGCTGGTATTTTTCCACAGGACTTTTCTGTGATCTCAGGGCCTAGTTTTTCCCAGCCAGGCCCAGAGTCTGAGAGAGGGTTAACAGGCAGGAAGCTGAAGGCATCGCAGACTAATACGGAAGTCAGATTTTTGTTTAACTGACAGGTTTAGCAGGCCTCAGTGGTGGGGGAGGGTGCTGGGAAGGGAAGGGAAGTCTGTAGATGGAGGCTTGTGGCCTGCTGGGAGTGCATTTGGCTTTTCTTAGGGTAAGCCTGTAGAGGGTCCCCCACCCCTTGGCATCATGACGGGGACCCATTTTGGATCAAGGGGGGGGAGTTAGACTCTCAGCAATGCAAATGGCTCTGTGGGCCTGCTTTCTCCAAGAGGCATGACTGTGCAAACAGGACCACTCTGCCCTCCTCCCGGCTCTCAGGAGCCTGGCTGATTTCTTGGGGGCTCCCCTGAGCTGCCTCAAGCCCCACAGAGGCCTGCCCCTGGCCCTATCCCTCTTGCCCCTGTTTCCCTGAGGCTCCCCAGCCCTCAGATCGACTTTCCCCTCTGAGACCCACACAGGCTGGTTTGTTCTAGAAACAGGCCAGCTTGCCTCCTTAGAGAAGGGCAGCTGCGTGGGGGTAGGTGTGGGTGAGTCCTTCCAGACCACCCCAAAAAGGCTCTTCCCAGTGGCATCCGGGCCTCAGGGTTGGCTGGAGCAGGTCAGGCTGGATGCACGGGTTTGCCAGGGCAGGGGACTCCAGCCAGGGTGTGGGAGAGTACGTGTGGGGGCCTCTTTCCCAAGTTTTTCTTGCTGCAAAAGGCCTAGCTTAGCCTGTCTTTTTCTATGCACAGGATGGCTCTTGCTCACCCGAGCCTCACAAAGATAATCGCTCAGGAAGTGTTTCAGCCAATCCGTGGCGGCTTTACACTCCGATTTGCTGGGGCAGCCAATCGGGGATGAGCTTTTATTAGGCGGCCAGATCATCAGCCGAAGTGCCAAACCCTTTTTCTGTGAGGACTAGGAGCCTGTCCTCCATGTTTTATAAGTATTGACATTACACAGTGTTAACAATGCATCCACAGAGGTAAGCTCGGCTTTTTAACCATCTTTTTTCCCCTCCCTCTAAGACATCCGAGTTGTGGGCGAGCAGTGTGATTTCTCTGGAGCTGGCTGTGCCACACTCACCCCCAGAGCACTTATGTTAACTTGGAACTGTTTAGAGAGAATTTTTTTTTTCCTTTCTTGGGTCACATGGCTAAGTAGCCATTAGCTATAGCTTCATTTTTTGCAGACTGGTGAGGGCCTGGAACACCTTTTCTTCTCCCAGGACTTGGTGTTCCTAGAACAGTTGGAAGCTAGATCCTGGTATGCCAAAAGAGAAGCTATTTTTTTTCCTCTCTTTTATTCCCCCCTTCCTCTCTCTTTCTCTCTGAGCAGTCCCCCCCACCCCCCTGCACTGTTGTCTTTTATGTGTCACATGCCTGCTGGGGGAAGACATGGAAGGTAAGCAAGAGACTTTTCCCAGGAGTGCTGGTGGTAGATAGCAGAGCAGGCAAGTTTGCTTCTCTAGAGAGGCTCTGGGAAAGGCTGGATGGACTCAGTGCTGACAAGAGAGGACGTGTGTTTGCAACAGAGCCCAGCCCTGGGCAAGAGCAGAGTTCCAGGAGCCAGGCTGGCTTCTGGGCCTAGGTGGGTGGTGGTGTGTGTGTACATGGCTTTTCCTCTACAGAGCTTCACACTTGAAACTACCTCGTTCAGCCTTTTTTTCTTGACTTAGCTTGATACAGAGTGTTCTGCAAGTCAGCCTACAGCAAGCAAATGGTTCTGAAAGTGTTTTCTAGGCTCTGGAGGGAGTTTTTGAAGTAGGGATGGGGACTGGGGGGTGGGGGAGATCTTGGACAACATCCTGCAGAAAAAAAATCTGGGAGGATTCTGACTCCTTTAACTTTCTACTCTTGCATGATTTTCAATGAACTAATGCTTTTTTCCTTGTCCCCCCCCCCCTTTTCTTCATTATATCATCCTCTGTCCTGTGTGATACAGTGCAGAGGATATAAAAGCTTGCCTGAGGCTCATGACAGCATCCCATATCCAGTTGTTGGGTTGTGTTGTTGTGGTGGTGTGTGTTTTTAATAATACCATGTAACTGTTTTTTAAAAAAAAATTCCTTTTTGAGCAAGTCCCTAATCTGCCAGCCTGTTCTCTCTTCCAAACTGTGGAAAAGTGGGCATTTGTTAGGTAAGTGAAGCAATCCATTTCCTCTGTGACCAGTATCAAGAGTTTTGTGAACATTTGGGGTTTGCTGTAATGGGGGGAGGGCTTTGAAAGAGTACCTAGAGTTTAGGTGACTGCTTGAATCCACTGTTGTCCCTGGAAACCTGCAGCCAGGATTGAAGATTTCACTTCCTGTTTACCCTCAGCCTGGGGAAGAATCGCTCAGTTCATTGTGACTTGGCTTCTAGACCTTTAATTGAGTTTGTTTGGCTCTTCGAACTCTGGGTAGGTGATCTGCTTGTGAAATGTTAGCAAAACTGTTTGTTCTTGGAGCCACAGAGCCCTACACACATGGGGTGTGTGCCTGTTCGCATCCATGTAAGTTTTAGGGTATTTACATACAGTCAGTGCAAAACCCTGTCCACTACCAAACCAGGTTTGGTTCAGGACTCCCTGACCAACATTTTCAGCCTTTTTCCCCCCAAGCCTGTGCATGCTGGCTTTGCATGTCCCCTGATCTTGATGCTGTAGCTAGAATTTTAAAGTGGCAAAAGCAGACTTTCTGTTAGCATTACCTTCAGGCTTCTCCTGGAGGCTCACCACATATATTTCCTGCTCTGAGACCTATCCAGCCCGCGTAAGTGCTGCAGATGAATTTAGTGAATTCAGTGGCTGTGTTTTGCCAACTCCATGGACTCAGTAATCCTTTTCTTTTAGCGTTCAAGCAACCCAACCTTTGACACCAGTTGGAAAAAAGGCTCACCACACTGTAAGTTGGGAAGTCTGTGTAAGGTGGGCCAGCATCTTGGAGTGAAAATATAGCTAGCTTATGATGGTCTACACTTTAGCAGTGCCACTGCCCCACACAAGTTCAGACACTGCTACTTTCTTTGTTGCTATCTCCTTGCTGTAAATGGAAATTACATATTGAGGTTCTTGTGGCCTCCCCAGAAGCAGACGCTAATCACAAGACTCTTGGTGCTTTCAACGTTTGCATAATGCTGTGTTTGTTGGGCTGGAAGGAGACGTAAGGGCAAGCAAGGCATCTGTCCTCTAAAAGCCTGCATTAAAATGGCTCCCACAGGTTTGGAAAGCCAGGATCTGTTCTCAAATGTGCAACCTCAGCCAGTTTCCCAGCCCTGGATCAAGCTGGCCACTTTCCCTCTGTTACTGTGACCACTACTACACAAGGCTTGGTAAAAAGTTAATTGCTTTGGAAGTAGCATTCTTTTCCAGTTACTAAAGGGGGGAAAAATAAATGACTGCATTACAGTAGGAATAGGTAGGGACCTCAGAGCTGGCCCACAGAAAGGCCCAATGGGGCTCCTCTTTCTTGAACTCTTGAACCAATAGATTTGGGGGAAAGGTTAAAGATTGACAATTGCAGTGGCTCAAATATGAGTCTTCTGGAAATTTCTACCATCTTTGTTCCTTTTAGGAAAAGCTGGTCACCAAGCTGAAGAGTCCTTCATTCCATTCCTAGGATCTCCCCTACCTCCAGTTTTTTCTCATCTAGGTAGAAGGTTCGACACATGTCTAAATCCGCAGAGGGGAAAACAAACCGATGGGCTGTTTTCCTGTGTTTCCTTCTGCCTCCTCCGTCCCCAAAGAGGATTCCCAGCTGCAAGGAACAAACACAGACATACTGGAGCTTTTGATTCTGCTCTGTCTCTCACAGTTTCTCTCTCTCTCTCTCTCTCTCTCTCTCTCTCTCTCTCTCTTCCTCCCCAGC